TCCCCAGGAAGCGTCCAGCCATCAGCTTGGGGTGGGAAGCAGAGAGTCAGTTTTCATTTCTTCCCTTCTGCATGCAGAATCACTTCACTTGGCTTTGCTTTCCCTTAAACTGCCTTTGTTTTTACCCACAGGGGTTTTGTTTCCATCTTATTTGCCTTCCCCCCCTTTTTGCTCTGTGCTGAGAGTGGCACGGTGGGCACAGCTCACCCACCAGAGTGGCACAGGGGGATGCTGGAGCAGGATGAGACCTGGGGGGGCTGGGAGGGCAGAGACAGGCAGGAGAGGGGACAAGCTGACTCCTCTGGGACACCCTTCAACCCTGCTGGGCCCCCCACGTGCCTGGGCCCTGCTGTGCCCCCTGGCTTCGGCGTGCCAGCCTCGGTGACGCTGCGGAGCACCAGCCCACCCAGGGACCCAGCAATTACAGGCAGCACGAAACTGGATCATCTGCAGCCCCGGGGTGGCACAGGGCAGCCAGGACCTGGCTCTGCCCAGCAGCAGGGGCTGGGTTCTGCTCCCTGGGCTGCACCCCGGAGCACCCCGACACCCAAGGGTGCTCTGCGGCTGCGATGGAGGGGCAGCCGCCCGGGTCTGCCTGCATCAGGATGCTGCCTCCTGGCACCAGTGTGTCCTGCTTGGCCCATCTGGCACCTGGGAGTGGTCCCTGTGTGTGTCCTGATGCTGGCTACAGCCCTGGGACAAACCCCAGGGGAGCCAGCTGGGTGCAGGGGTTCCTTGGAGCTCGGTTGAACCGGGGCTGTTGTTGCTCCAAAATGTGCCTTTGGCTTTGGCTTTCAAGAGTAATTTTGGGGCAGGGGCAAGCTTCCCCCCTCCAGCCAGTCCCACAGACACCTGGCCCTTGGATTGTTGGAAATCAGGCTGCAGAGTGGTGAAATGGGAGTTGCAAAAGGCTGTTAGGTCTGGTGATGGGCTGCAAACATGGGTCCTGGGTGATGTTTGTCTTCCCGCAGGAAGAACCAGGGCTGAGATGTCCACACATCCCAGATCCATTGCAGAAGTTAAGAAAGTGAGTCTGACGTGTTTGTTTGGTGATTTTTTTTCTCAATTTTGTGGTTCCTCTCAAGCAGAAAGTGCTGAAAGGAACAGGGGTGGGAAAAACCAGTCCTTGTCTCTCCCAAATATCTGCATTTCCAGGAAGAGCTCTTTCCCCCACCCGTTTCCCTTTGGTTTCATCTCATTCATTACCCAAATCTCCTTATTTTAACTTTCTGACACGTGTCTTTTGTTTCCCCCATCCTCTTCTCCACACAAAGGACTTATTTCACTGCACAGATCTGATCCCATCCAGCAGCACCCCCTCCCCGTGCATTTATTTCAGAGATTGCTGGATGTTCTTCTGGGACAGGATGAGCAGAACCTCGAGTCCTTCGACTGGGTTGCCAAACTGAAACAGGCTGTGAGGCTGTTTCAGAAGATCCCAGCCTGTGTCTGGAAGCCTGGAAAAGGAGTTTCCCAGCAAGGGCTTTTTTCTTTGCCCTGGTAGGTAGGGCAGACAGTCACTAGGGACAACTCAGTGCTCTCAGCTGTGGTTCTATAAGGTCAAGTCACCCCAGGAACTAAAATAACCCCCCAAACCCTACAAGGAATGCCTTTGAGAGTGATGCTGACAGTCCCTGGCTCCACGCATGCATAGTACATGTGCCCCAGCACTGCTCTGCTTTCTTCTGGGGTGGGTGATGTTGGTGCCTCCCATCTGGGTGCAATGAAAAGACTCCAAACTTTTCTTGCCCCTAGAGCTTGGTGGTTCCTTCCCCTGCCTGGGATCACGCTGGTGACTCCCTCTCCCCAGCGTGGAGCTGACTCAGGTTTAAATGCAGGTTAGTTCTGCAACTCCCTGGCTGTTTGGCACCTAACAGGCTCCTGGCACAGCAACGTGGTGGCAGGCCACAGCCTGTAATTAAAAACCTCCTGACAATGCCACTCCAGCCCAAGGAAGCAGAGCTGGGAGTCCCTGGCTCCAAAGAGCAGGGTGGAAAGGCTCTTGGCCTTGGGATCCAGCTCACTGTCCAAAAGTCAGTCAATTTTGGTGCCTGTCACCTCCAGGGTGACTCCGGAGCCCACGGTGGCTTTGCTTTTAAAATTTAATGTGCTTTCCAAGCAGAATTCATACCCCAGGCATGAGGAATAACAACCAAAAGAAGGCAAAATCTTCTAAAAGCATTAACTCACGCTGGGCTGGCTCAGGCCCCTGTGTCTGTGTCTGCAGCATCTGGGCAGCTGGGGCAGGAGAAAAACCCCCCAACATTTTCCTGCCATGGTCCCCCAGCACCCTCACCCCTGCAGCCCCCAGCTTCTCCTGCCATCGACGAGACCACCCTAGCAGGGTTGACCTACAAACTCATGTTTCTTGGGCTCAGCCTCCATCCCTGAGCTCACCTCAGGTGCACTGGGGACCCGAACTGGTTGTGCTCAGGAAAAAAAAAGGTGGGGAACGATGCGCCGGGGATGCGCCCGCCCCAAATCCTGCTCAAACACTCTCCTGCCTGGTGGCACAAGACCTAAACTGTACTTCGGCCTTAGGTAAACGCACTTGGGCAAGGTAATGAATGCCTTGTAGCCCAAATCATTTCAATCTTACTCAGTATTACACGGAATCAAAACACGCCAGATGAAAGAGGGAACTGTTAATCAGCCGGGAGAACTTTCCAGGAGAAAACAGCCAGTTGTTGGGGAGTTTCAGGCAGAAGGTATGCACCCGCTCCCCGGGGGGGGACCAGGGCACCCTATAAAACCCCACGCAGCACCCAGGCTCAGCACCCTGCTCCCGGGTGCTGCCACTGCCTCTGTCTGGGTCAGTGGAGACGGGCTGGGTCTCCTCCCCGCTGAGCTGGTGCTTTCGCCGATGCCTTGTGCCTGGTCCTCTGCAAGAATCCAAGGTTTGTCACCTTGGGGGAGCTCAGGGGAGGGGTGATGTCTGCTCCCAAACGAGGGGCTGTGGGGTGCAGGGTCCGTGGCCGAGCAGCTGGGCTCATCCTGCCTGGTTTGCCTCGCTGAGGTACAGCAGAGACCAAGGTCTGCACAGCGTGGGGGGATTGGCACCTCCCTGCTTGCAGGAGGGCGTCGGAGGTCTGGTGTGTTTTGGGGTGGGATAGCTCAGCTGGCGTTGCACTGATTCCACAGGGTTTTGCTACAGCCAGATGCATCTCAGCAGGCATTTGGCTTGCTGAAAGCTGGGGGGCAGGCAGCATGTGGGAGTGGGGCTGAGCTCAGGGCTCTCAGCACTCCAGCTTCCCACCAAACTCCTCAGTTTCTTCTGGGTGAGCTACGGGGTGAGTAAAGGGGGTTAAGCCAGCTCCTGCCTGTTTGGAAACCTTTTGTTTTGATTTCCTAACCCCCCAAATTCACCCTGGAGCCAGCTCTCCCACAACTCTTACCACGGGAGCTGCTGACTGAAGGCTCAGCAGAGGTGGCTCGACTTCTCCCTCGCCTTGACACGCCCCCCTCTCTGCCTTTCAGGTC